TGGCTGAAGTCGGACGCTTAACCGACTGCGCCACCCAGGCGCCCCTATTTTATTATTTTTTTTAATGTTTATTTATTTTGAGAGACGGAGAGAGAGCAAGCGAGCATGAGAGAGTGAACATGAGTGGAAGAGGGGCAGAGAGAGAGGAAGAGAAGAATCCCAGGGAGGTTCTTCACTGTCAGCACAGAGCCCGATGCAGGGGCTTGATCTCATGAACTGAGAGATCATGACCTGAGCTGAAATCAGGAGTCAGACATTTACAGGGCACCTGGGTGGTTCAGTCAGTTAAGCGTGTGACTTCGGTTTGGGTCATGATCTCACAGTTTGTGAGTTTGAGCCCAGTGTCGGGCTCTGTGCTGACAGCTCAGAGCCTGGAGCTTGTTTCGGATTCTGTGTTTCCCTCTCTCTCTGCCTCTCACCTGCTCATGCTCTCTTTCTCTCAAAAATAAATAAACATTAAAAAATTTAAAAAAAGAGATGCTTAACCTACTGAGTCACCCAGGCACCGCAAGGGTTACATAGTATTTATCCCCTTTTATAGATCTAACATTTCGTTAGTGCCAAGACTTAAATGATGTGATGTGATATGGGGTATATGTTTGCATATATATACGTATATATATATACAGATATATATATATACGTATATATATGTATATATATATATATACATATATATGTGTATATATATATGTATATACGTATATATATATATTAAAAGAGTGCCACACTGCTTGAACGAATATATTTGAGGATATAACATACATAATAGTGGACAGGCTCATGTGGATAGTAACGATAAGCAGTTTGGTACAGTTTTTTCTTTATGATCTTAAATCAAGGTTAGTCTCAACTATTCATAATCATTTCACTTGCTACTTGGGCATATGATGAAACCTTGGACAATGAAATATGGAGCTAAGTCTGCTGGAAGGATCTAGGAAAGGCTTTCCTTGTTCTTACAGAAAAAGGACTACAGATAGGGTTCTTTAGATATTGGTCTTTGGCTCTCTGGATGCTGTCTTATAAGAAGAGATGCTTAGAGCTATTGGCATTACAGAAAAGTTAAGTGACAGTCTTACACTGCAGAGCCACAAATTTCACTCTGGAACAACCCCACCTCTGAACATCCTGTAAGTTAAGGTAATAATTTTTCCTCATCATCTAAGCCAAAACTGAGGGAGGTATGATTACAAATCCAACCTATAATCAGTATCAGCATTATAGCTAGACCCTACTTTCTATCTAGTCTTTAGGGTTTTATGTCTCTGTAATAGTATTTCTTCAAAATCAGAAAATATGGTATTAAGAGAACATTTGTTTACTACTTTCTAGAATTTTTTGTGTTCTCTATATATACTTGTTACATAACCAGCCAAGACTAATGCCCTTAAACTTCACAAAAGTGACAAGGTTCTCTGCTATTTTTTCTGACTTTAATGCATATTTTTTATTCACATTGCTTATATATCTTTTCCATCTGTTCTTTTAGGCCTGAACTATAATTTAGGATAATATTGATGATTATGCCCTTCTAAATTCTTTGTGCATAATTTATCTTGACAATCAATAAAATAGTAAAAAGTGCTGTAACACTTTTCTTTATTTTCAACTTGCTCCTTTTTATCCTTTAACACAACTTCATATTCTAGGAATATTTTCGCCTTGCCCACATACTTTGTACCTGAATGTTCTTAAAAAAATAAAATTCATAGCTTTTAGAAACTCTTCAGGAAATTACTCTAGGACTCTTAAAATGATTGAAGAGGATTAATCTATATTCTTCTACACTATATTGGCAGTCATTATCTATCTTCTCTGCCTAGATAATTTAAGATATTAGGCCACTGAGCTGCATACTTTGCACAACTCTTAACTTACCAATGCTATGCAAAGGAGGTTAGATTTAAAAAAAAATAACTTTAAAAACCATTTCTCAGCAAATCTCATTTTGAGAGCATCAGTAAGTATCTTGGCCAGATAACCTGATGGGCAATGTAGCTACAAGGTTTTATCCACCCTCCACCTCCACCCCCACAAACCCCATCCCCCACAGCTGTAGGTTTTGCTATACATTCCTAAGACCAAGCTAATACATGTGTAAATTAAGGGAGAATACTGGTAAATTATCTCTAAGACAATGAAAAAGAGCACATTATAACTTCATTGAGTACATGGAGGCACCAAGAATGTATAGCTTGTAAAGAGTATTCTTACAACTGCCAAGAGGGAAATCAGCAGGATTAAAGGATAAAGCTTTTGAAAACCTCATCTAAACTGCCTAGTATGGCAAAGAAAAGAGATCTATCCCAAGTAGACTTCAAGCTGTATTAACCAAAACAGTATTTTAGTGTTACAGCAGTTGATTTCAGAATGAAGTATATCTTTATATTTTGTCCCACACTTTAATGATTTATACTCCTTGGAAGTTGCACAGGCTGACATAATTTATAATTTAATATAACTGAGGTATTATAAGGCCCACATCTCAGTAAGCTTCAAAACTGCTAATTGGGATAATAGGAAATTACTTGTCTTCTCCCAAATGCCAGTGAAGTAGGTCAGGATAATTAATATGTAAGCTGGCTTTTAAGTCAAAGGAAAACAAGACAGGTCTCATGTGTGTACTTTTAATACCATCCATTTTACACCAAAATGAGTTCTGCCTGTGAAAAATCATAGTTTGATTCAGTTAAATACATGAATTTCAAAATAAGAGAAAAAGTAGTCCAACCATGAGAAGACACAGATTGAAGACTGCTCTAAAGAAGGCTACATTTATACCTCATAAGCAGGGAAATTGAAAAAAAAAACACATCTAGATCACCGATTTAGGTACATTTTGCTTTTTAGATTGCTTTGTAAACTTGTAAGCACTGTATAATATAGATCACATTATATAAAGTTAAGGTAAACATAAATGATAAGACAGGGGTTTGGGTGATGACATAATTCTTCATCCTCAAAGCAGAAGATAGGCTATACTTTCACATTTTCTTCCATTACTCCTTCTGCCCACTTGCCTGATACTTTCTAGCTTTAATTTCTTGGTAAGCTGAGAAAAAACGTGTGTAGCTAGAGACAAAACTTATGTCCTCTGCAGGTCTGTGCTGGATAAGTGCAAATTCACTATAGTAGGTCAAAGCAAATGCTGGCCTCGAGCATGACAGTTAGTAATACATCCCTGCTTGACTCTAACAAGCACAGGTGCCTGCCAACCTGTGGGCAGCATAGTGAATGCTCTGCACTGGAAGGCATGTCGTAAGCCTGAGACTGGTGGGATGGCCACAGCTTCTTTTGTGTATATAATTTTTGCTCTGTTGACATAATACCCAGCAGCTTGATTTGAATAATAAGCCTGGAATACTAGGTCCTAATGGCCAACCCAGGGCAGCCATGAACATGACACCCCTTAACTAGACCTTAAAGATTCTTTTGAAAACATGGATTTTAAACCTGGTGTTTCTCAAGTGAAGTGTTTATCAAATCGTACACTCCTAAATATTAAAAACAGTAATGCAGAAAAACCATCATTAGGAAGGCAGACAGACATTCTATTAAATAGAAAGCATCTTCTAGTAGACAACCATGAAACACATGCTCTGCTGAGAATGGTTTGATGAACATTGACACATCAAGCGAAAGATCTGGGGAAAAATGCCCAGAAAGAAATGGGGCCCTGAAATATAGTGCATGGCCACATTTAGTGAAGCAGATCTGACTGAAATAGCATGAAATGCCCCAAAATATTGAACTGTGAAGATAAAATGTGCAATACTAGATTTATAGACACACTTGCTAAGACTGTTCTGCCTTATCACAGTTATTCCACAAAAAAAGAGACACTGAAAGAGATGGAAAGTACTGAAAAATTGCCCACTTGACACATTTGGGAACCTGAAGGAAAACCTCACCAATTTAGTAGTGCATGTACAAGGTAAAAATAAATTCAATCAAGAAAACAGCAAAGAGACACTAGAAGAACAAACTCGAAAGCCATCTAACTATAGATGCTCTGTGGGCCCAGGTTTTCCTTTCAGGCCCTAGGATGCGCCTTCTCCTTTCCAGGACTCCCTCCTGCGATGGCCAGAGGGAACTGGGAAGTAACTGGCTTAAGCGAAAAAGATATCATCGATGACTTCTACCTGTGGCCATGATGATATGTTTTCTGAACAGAATTCTCTATTTCAGAGGGCTGTGCAAATTTCAACACAATTTATCTTAAAATGGCAGAGTTAAAGTATTTTCCCCAATATGTTTGTAGAATACTGAACAAACTTCACATACTTAGTTACAGCAGTTGTGCAGCACATAGATGACAGTCAAAATGAAGTTTCTAACTCATCTTTAGTTAAATTTTAGAAAACAGTATCCTGATTTTGGTAATCATCATAACACTAAAAAATGTATTATCATGCTTGCCAGAAGTCCTACAGAGACCTCACATGGCTCCTAGATATTTCTTCACCAGTCTCTTCCATAATCTCTGATAAATGTGAATGTCGGGAGGGCTTGGCAGGTAGTAGATGGTAATTACCTTTTCCTGCACCAACAGTATACCTTTTGTAATGCTCCTTATGGAGATTATGACCAACATACACTTCACATGGAAACTGCTTTAACATATGATTTTTATTACCAGCAACTCATATTTTCATGGTATAAGATATAATTCTCCTTAAATAAGGCAATGAAGACCATAAAAGGAATTCTACTGTATTTTCGTGCTAATAATCTCCAAAGTGACTCTCATTTTAAATGAGCCAAGTTTAACATGGGCATGAGGATACTGACCTGCTGGCCCTCTGTGAGCTTTGAACTGTTTTTCCAATTGTGAAGAAGAACTTACAGTAATATATCCCATAATCAAAGTCTCGTATACTTACAAAATGGGTGGATGTCTATAGTCTGCTTATATCCTTTAAAAAGGGAAGTCTAATGCCCTGGTGGGAACAAATCAGAAACTGTGGTTTCATCAACACTAGCTTGGGTCAGCTGCACTAACTGGCCCAAACTTCATTTTGAATAAAGACATGCAAACAGTTTTATACTACTTCTTTAATACTGTACTTTTTTATTGGGGGGGGGGGGGAGGGAATTTTTACATTTAGGACTTACAGCCAAACCTAGATTTTCTTTCTAAGTAAGGTAACTGAGTTCTAGCCTTTCCCTTAAACTAGCCTGGGTTTCTGGACTGGTGTATCACATTAATTATAAACAGATGCTTGGTAAGGCATGTTGGATAAAGAACTTGAGAATTAGTAAACATATTCTTAATGCCAAAAAGTCAGAGGATTACTTAATTGACTTTGTCTCTCTTCAAAGTTGATTCACATAAATTGAGTTTTGTAATTAACATATATACCAAGAAAATAAATAAATGCTTTTGGCAAACTGGTTTCTAGAAACAATTTTGGCCATTTGGAGTTGACAGAAATGCTATTTGAAATTTCTTCTTGGAAAACTCTTTTGAATTTTTCCTTTAAATCTTTTAATAGTGAAAAGGGAAGTTGTATATGTATGTGTGCATATGTGTGTGTTTCTGTGTTCACTTACGTATTCAACCAAGGTTCTGCTAACACCGTGCTTGAAGCATTTAGTTTCTTAACCCAAACTCAGGGGGCAATAACTGTGGACCAAAGGGATGATATATACAAGGGAGAAGAAAGTGGATAAGAGGTAGGAGAAAAAGAAATGACTATCATTAACCTTACAAGGAAAATGGGTAACTGGAGAAAAGCATTTGCTCTAGCTTTGGGTGTCCTGGGATATAGGCTTCATTATCCACCTTTCTCCCCCCCATGTTACTCAATTTCTGAAAGTAAAACAGCAAAGGATACCTAACGTCCTGTGCAGCAAGACTATTATTTTAAGAAAAAAGGGAAACAAAATTCTATTTTCTTAAAATAAGAAGTTTGAAAAGGTTAGGACTCTGTGTACACAGGCTAAGGATCTCCAACATACTTACTTTTGTCTCCTATGTTTTCCCCTGCTGCCTCCCCTTCCTCCTCCTCCTCCTCCTCCTCCTCCTCCTCCTCCTCCTCCTCCTCTTCCTCCACCTCTGTGGGCTGCACGTCATCCTGCGGGTCACAGGCACTAACGGGTGCGTTCAGACAGCAGTGGTTGAACCCGCTATCTCGAGGCAGAGTAAAACTTCGAGGTTTGCCCCCATTTCCATTTAACACTTGCATCCTCTCACTCTCAGCCAAGGGGTACGGCCCATAGTGATCCTGTAGGTGGCACTTCTGAGTTGGAAGGGTGGACTGCCGCCTGTGCTCTGGGGAGATGGCCGCGGAGTCAGAGAAGACAGAATCCTCCAGGGGCAGAGTCTGAAGATAGTGTAATCCTGAGCTTGTCAGGGGCGTCTCGATTAAATCCTGCCAGGAGCGGCGCTGACTGGCTGTCTTGCGAATGGGGGACACAGCACTGCTCCCAGTCACTTCCTGGCGAAACTCTTCATGGGAGGACTGTGACTGAGAGGTCTCTGTGGAAGAGAGCCGGCTGTGTTTTGCTTCCACGTAAGGACTGGCACAACTCATCTGTGGAAAGGAGCCTCTGATCAGTCTCTACAGAAAATAACAGACTACTTCTGTTACCAAGGAACACATTAGATTTCTAACAGTTAACATTTACCAGTCAAGTTAATGACTAGTCAAGTTTACAGACATCTCAAAGTTAGGCCCAGCTGATATTTTAAGAGACTGAGATGTGGAGTGTTGAAATGCACCTATACCAGACTCTCATGAAAAGTCTGACATATTAACATGCAAAGTTGCACAACAGTGAAGCATAAGGAAATTTGAGTGCTTATGTAAGAAATATTCAGCAACTAAGAAAAATCTGAAGTTTAAAAAATCTCTAGGAATTTAAAACCCTGAATAATTGCTGCCAAATTCATATTTTTGGATTTTGTGGAGTTTGGGGGTGAGAGCAAGGAGAGAGGCTTTTGGATGTGAAAAGAAGGTGCCTATAATCGGACAGAACCCCTCCTCTTCTTCATAGGTGAATGAATCCTCCTATGGGCCCCAATGAAAGGTGTTCTTGTGGTCTTTTCAATTTGTGGCACTTTGTAGAGTTAAACATACAGGCAAGGTGAGATTATACTCTGATGGGGATGAGCATCTGCCTTGGGCATGGGCACCTCAGGGTACATAAACACAAAAGAAAAATGGAATATTTCTATTCTTGGAATTTAAAGTTTGGGAGTATATATTACAGTACAAAGTACAACCAAGAAAATGGACTGGCATCAAGTGAATGCTGTAAAAGACTTGCAGGTGCCCCTACTGGGGACAAGGCTTACTCTAGCTCTCGGGGCTAACAGATCAGCTCTGGCTCCTTTCTGGCAGGAGGAGTTGAATTTGTCAAATGTGATCAAGGCAAATGGGGCTCAGGTGGTGGCCAGGACAAGCCTGGCTGAGGTAAAAGCACACGCTGCCCCTCTGGGTAAAGGAGAAGTTAAATGGCATCTTCTGGGGGCAGTTTATCTTCCCACATGTTAATAACAATGTAAATAGCTTCCTTCTTGAAATTCACAAGTTGCTATGATTAAAGAGCTGTTCCCTGAAGCTGCAGTTTCCCTTTCTTCCTCTTTTATAAATATTTAAAAGGAATTATTCAGGCCCTGATGTTTTAGGCAAAGAGGGAAAATATGATATAAACTGTATCTTGTAACTGACTTCATGATTTCATTTCTATAGCTCATTCTTGCATTCTGTTACACTCAGCATTTATTAAAGAAATGTGCATACATATTAGGAACAATTCTTAGCTAAGAGACATTGACATCAAACACTGTTATTAAAAATGTGGCTTCCCTTTTAGTTATTAGTCAAAAGGACCCATTCATTTATTTCAGAAATATTCATTTATTCATTTCAGAAATATTTATTAAGCACTTAATAAATAAGTTCCAGTGCTGTGCTAAGCCATGGGGATGTGTAGATGAATACAGCAGGCCCACAGTCTAGTCTAGTGAGCTGTTTGTAGTCTCAGATATTCTGATTTAATGTCTGGATAGGGTCTGAACATCTGCATTTCTAAAATGTTACAGAAGTGATTCTTATGCACAGCCAAGGTTGAGAAATGGCCTAGAATTTTATCAACTTCTTGTGTAGCGTCTTATTTAAAATCCTCTAGAGTAATATGGAGGTGTAATTAGGTTGAGTGCTGTTGTCACCTAAATTCAGCTTCCATTTCCTATGTGGAAGACTCAGTCCCAAGATAGCCAGAATTAACTCTTATGACGCTGTAACCATGCAATGTATTGTCAAGACTGGGAGACTACTGAGATGCTCTTAGTAGTTCTGATGGGCCACGGGCATAAAGTGGGATAGTCTCAAGCAAACTAGGACAGTTGTTTACCCCATTAAAAGATTATAAACTACAGGCTATACACAGAATCATTTACACAGGTTTAAGAAGTCTGGAGCACCATATAAACACATACATTAAACCAGACCCCATGACTATCTGAAGAGCTATCTGTCAAAATATGTTTAATATAGATATAATATTAATTTTTATGAGTCATTTCTGAAGGATATAGGAATGAACTTTATTAGTGTGGGATACATAAAGCCCATTTATATATCTTTTTCTAAGAAAACTTATTTTTGTTGCTGATATTTCCAGGAAGGCTACTCTGACACAAACAGGATTTTTTAAAATAAAACTGGGCAGATATTATGCCTGGAATCTGTGGTGACTGTTTCTCCTGATTAAATAGTCTTTACATACTAAATTTTTTCCCCTTATTGTTTTTAGACTCCTTATGTTCTTTCCTCTTAGGGAACCTGAGGTCTGACGTGCAATTCACTACATGGGGATATTTTGGGTCAAAGAATCTGATGCTAAATAATGTCCATTCCTGTTGGCAACTTACAGAGGGAGGTCGTGGGTATGTGTCGTAAGGGGGCGGAGGGCTGTCCTGTTTGGGTGTTGATGGAGTATCTGCTTCTTCCTTGTCACTCTCACTCCAGTAATCTGTAAATTCACACACACAGATACAACATTCTATTAAATATTTCTAGCCATATTTTCATTCTATTAAATATTTCTAGCCATATTTTCATTCTATTAAATATTTCTAGCCATATTTTCAAGAACACACACTACCAGCTAACACAAAGACATTTAAATTCCACTCCTATACCCTGCTCCACAGCACCCACTACTCCAGGCCCACAAACTTTTATTTTCAGCTGGGTGTTCAAGAAGAAGGAAGAGTGCAATCACTTAATTCCAATAAAGCATGCAATTATACATAGCTATAATTTTAAGGAGTTAAGAAAAAGACACTGCAGAAGTCAAATCAGGTTTAGGGTGCTTTAGATTCCAGGCCAAGTTATTCTGATGCTTGAATTAGTGAATAATAACACATGATGCCTCTTAAAGGTGTATCATTTTACCCTAAAGATGAACACTCAAAGAAAAGCAATATATATACAACTGTAGATCTCTACAGATATAAACAGCTCCAAAAATAATGTTCTCAATTCTTTTTTCTGGCTCCAATTCACTGGTTATCTAACAATCACTGTTTCCAGAGTCATGCTGACATGACTCTCTATAACACGATACTCCCACCTCTACTTGGAAACACATGGCAAACCTTGATTCTTGCCAAATGCAAAAGGGCAAATTTGCTGATGTGGGCTGCAAGTTCCAAACTTCTAGAACTACTTAAAAGGGTAGAAAATGTAAGCCGCTAGACTTGGCAGAGCTCAGGCAAGAGGGAAAGGAAAAAATTTTGAGACATAAATTAGTTGAGTAAGTAAAATACAGCACAAAGACCAATAATCAGAACCTGTTCCACTAATAACGCAACCACTCTTAACTCTGGGTTAATTCCTTATAAGATTTACGAGGAAAAACCTGTAAGTATTACCCATTTTTATTCTTAAAAAATCTAAATCAAAAGAACCATCATTAGGCTTAACTGATAATCAGATTTAGGTGAAAAAACTATGGCAGATACTTTTACAGGAACCTCTTTCCACCCAGGAATCTTTTACTGTAATATTTATATATATTTTCCTTGTGGTGCTTATGAATAAGTATAGTTAATATTTATTGAGTACTTACTATATGCTGCACATACTTTTATAGGAACCTCTCTCCACCCAGGAATTATATATATTCTTATATATAAAAATTATACAATATTTATATATATTTTCCTTGTGGTGTTTATGAATAAGTATAGCTAATATTTATTGAGTACTTACTATATGCTGAATAGAAAGTAGTAGAGCTGGGATTTGAGCTAAGAAATAGCCTTGCCCTAAACCTTGGAGGGCTATCACTGGGACTCTTTTGAATGACACACTGGGAGAGTTTAATTTGACATATATTCATGATGCTTTGAGCCCTCCTCCTCCTGCTGTTCTGTAACTCTGGCTATCATGAAAAGAAATTCTTTAGCAGTGGAGATTATTACATTCAGGCCTCAAAATACAAAAACTTTGAAAATGCTATTCCTATTTTAATTATTCCCTTTGACTAAAAGGTAAGCAGAAACTACTTAATCTAAATTTGTGTCTGGTATTTATAATGGATCATGCTGGTGACAGCTAGTATACTAAGCTTCCTCTCAAATATGAATTGATATAGTTGCCCAGCGATGTACGCAACAAACAATGGTGGGAAAAGCATGAACTATATACCTGGGCAGATGGAGGTTCAATTCTTGGTTGTACCACTTACCATCTCTGTGCTCTTGTGATGGTTACTAAACCAGAGTCTGTTTTGTCATCTGTAAAAGGGGGCTAATAATAACTGACTTTCAGAGCCGTGTATATGTGTGTGTGGGGGTGGGTACTAAATAAGGTAATACATATTCAAGTGCTTTGCACCTTGAAAGCACTCGATATTAGGACCCCTGATTTTCTTTGGTGGATTTATAGGTAGCATTCTAGGACAGTCTGACCCAGATCACAGAGGAGGTAAATGCCTTGTGTTTATCTTCTTGGACATCAGTTTTTTTTTTTTTTCTCGTAGCAAGTTCCAGCAATGAAAAGTGAATTCTGTAGCTCTTGGATCTGGGTTAGGCAGTTTTGTGGGAGTTTGAAATACTAGAAGGAAGTCATTGCTGGAGGTGAATGCAATAAGCACCACCCCATCCTAACCCTAAGCAGTGGTTTGCCAATATCACTTTGCTCTTACCTTTCCCACTATTTCCTGTGTTGAATTTCTCCTTGACCTCTGTACTGATACCTTGGGGGTCTCAAGGAATTAGAACCTCAAGGGGCCCTTAACAGCATGCTGAGAAGGAGATGGTCACCATTTTATCAAGATCTCTATAGCTATCACTACAAATGACAGATGTGGGAGATTCTCTCTGCTTTCCCACCTCAGCTAAATTAGGGAGAATTCTAGTCCAGTACTTAATGTAATTTTTGGTTTACTAAAAAGCACCATCAATCTATAGCTTATTTGGGTTGCTGAATAAAAGACTGAAATTCCCCTTTGTAAATTAACTTCATTTCTCACAGTAAGTTGTAGGTCTTTGAGAGAGCAGTGACAAAGAAGAACCTACATAGAAAACTCAGTCAGTCTTCTTTTGGGGTTGTGTGGAAAATTACAAGCACATTGTTTGCTCAAGAGGCTGAAATGAGTTTGATTTTCATTCTATGAGCAAATTAATTTATTTTTCTTAGCTTTCCATTTAGCAAAAATAAATGGATACTTTTAATGTCTTGCAGTGATATTCAATATTATATGTAACTAATCATGAATAAATAGTGCCATCAGTAGAACAGGAAGATTTCCACTTTATTCTCATGTTGATACAAAAGGATAATTTGAGAAACTTAACAGAAGACCATGCGGGAGGGGAAGAAAAAAAGAGGTTAGAGAGGGAGGGAGCCAAAACATAAGAGACTCTTAAAAACTGAGAACAAACTGAGGGTTGATGGGGGGTGAGAGGGAGGGGAGGGTGGGTGATGGGTGTTGAGCAGGGCACCTGTTGGGATGAGCAGTGGGTGTTGTATGGAAACCAATTTGACAGTAAATTTCATACTAAAAACAAAAGGATAATTTGAGAAAAATGACTTTTTCATCTAGAACTACCAAAATATACAATATATTTCATTCATTTTTATGTGATTAAAGCTTTAGGAAGACATTGTGTGACTGAAAATAATGTGTCATGAATGTCTGACTTGCACGTGGAAAAATACAGAAAAATTATTAATAGGCCATTAGCCAAATTTTGATCTTCATGTAATTTAGTGTAACCCTGTTTTCTCTAAGTACAACAACAAATAATGAAAGAGAAGCCCACATCCTTTACACTTCTGGAGCTAAAGATACTAATTCATTAAACTTTTATTTAAATCAATGAAAGAGTCACTTTGAAGCTGCAATGGATATTTACATAAAAATAGTGTTTTGGAGTTACTCCTTTGCATGTTTGTGAAATATTCCCAACCCTCAACCACCTATATTTTGTATGAAGCTTAACTTCAGTACTGAGAACAGTACTCGGAAGATGTCAAATAATTCTACAGAAGTGTGGAGTAGACACATGCATACAGTTGTTTTCTATATAGAATACCATGAGACCTAATGCAGAAGGTAGGAAGTCTATTATGTTTCTGACCTATGTTAGAGTGCCTGAGAAATATACACTCTACGTGGAAAACCAAATTATTTCAGATATTCTGGTTGCATTGTGCTAGCAAGGGAGACGTGACTTGTTAACTATTATAAGCTTCTGCCAGTGATGGTCTACTACTGCAGAAGGTACTAAAATATGCACTCACATGCCAGACCAGTGCATCATGAATCCATGCATTGAATACTTATTGGAACCTGTATGTACGGTATAACTTACCAGTTCCTTAATCCATAATGATATATGGCTATATAATACCACGTACAAAGAAAATTAACTAAAATAAAGACCATGCTAAACTTCAAAATAAGAAAGTTAAGCTTGAGAATTCAAGATTCCTTCTTTATGCAAACCGAGTTTTTCAAAGATTCATTTCCTATCAGTATACTGTCTATACTTTTAATTTTTGCATCTTAAAAAAATCAGAAACAAACCTATATGCACCTATAAAATACAGTTTTTTTTATGCCTTTAAAAAATGTGAGAAGGAAGGCTAACAGATTTTTTAGTAGTCTTAACACAATTTTAGGCCTATAAATTAAGTTGAAGTATGAAAAGTTTAAATAAACTTAAGTAAACTTTTAACAATGAACAAATGTGGCTTAATAACTGGCCTGACACCCCATAGTCCTGGCTGGGATTCACCTGTGCACCCTGATTTGATGGAGATTGTTTCCTCATTATTTGTGGAAGTATCCATGCTGCTTCCCCTCCCAGGAATGTTTTGTCACTTTCTATTTTTTAGACATTTATTATTATTTTTGAAACACAGAAAGAGAGTACGAGCAGGGGAGGGGCAGAGAGAGGACACGCAGAATCCAAAGCAGGCTCCAGGCTCTGTTGACAGCAGAGTTCATGGTTTGATGCAGAGCTTGAACCATGAATTGCGAGATCATGACCTGAGATGAAGTCAGATGCTTAACCAACTGAGCCACCCAGGCGCCCCTTTTTGTTACTTCCTATCTACTTCATTCTCATCCTGTGAAAATAGGTTCAAATAATGGAGTCAACATAAAGCCTTTCCCACTCCCTTCCTGGAAGCAATCTCTCCAGCTTAATTTCCACAGAACTTGATTTGTACTTTCTTACATTTCATTTTCTGTATTATATTAAGAGGATCTTTTCTACTAGAATTCAGTGTAATTTCAGGCAGGATGGGCACCTATTTCACCTTAAGTCAATCAGCGTGCTAGTTGAAGGCCTTACACAGAAACACTTCATACTGAATAAAATATCTTCTCTTTCTCTCTACTGCTGACTTTACATCAGCCTCACTGATCAACTTCTCTAGCAAGTTATTTCCTCATTAATTCTGCCTCTTTCCCAGGTTTTTTTTTTTTTAAATTTTGCATCCACTTAGCAAATTTTTAAAAAATCAGTTTCACATTGTGCAACCATTAATACTGATTGACTTTATGTTGTTCTTTAATTTTTTTTCTGCTGCTCTTCAATTTTTCTTAAGCAATTTCAAGTGTGTATCTTTTTTCAAATGTTTACCCATTTATTTTCAGAGAGCATGTGTGCACAAGAGCGCTTGAGTGGGGAGGAGCAGAGAGGGAGAGGGACAATTCCAAGCAGGCTCTGAACTGTCAGCGCAGAGCTGGATGCCAGGTGAGAACCCACGAACACGAGAACATGACTTAAGCCGAAATCAAGAGTTGGAGGCTCAACCGACTGAGGCACCCAGGTGCCCCTCAAGTGTGTATCTTTGATATCCTCAACAAGATGATATATTCCTATTGGCAGGAACCATGTTTTGCTATTTCTTTGAAATCTTCCTGCCCTAAGTCCTCACCCTTCACTGCCTTACTCATCCCCATTCCCTCACCCATGGCTCTAAACCAGGGGTTGGTAAACTGTGGCCTGCAGGCCAAATGAGGCTCTCTGCCTATTTTTATATGGTCTGTAGATCAAGAACAGTTTTTACATTTTTAAATGGTAAAAAAATCAAAGGAAGAATAATTTTTTGAAATGTAAAAAATGATATGAAATTTCATTTCACTGTCCATAAGTAAAGCTTTATTACAGCCCAGTCAGAATCCTCATGTGTGTACAGCTGCTTTCATACTATAACAGCAGAGTTGAGTAGTTTAGACAGAAATCTTATGGGCCTGCAAAGCCTAAAATATTAACTATTTGGCTTTTCACAGAAAGTTTCCCAACCCCTGCCCTAAACATTTGCTGACAGATTGGTTTTGGGATCTGGATATCTACTTTAGATATCTCTAACCTTCAGCTTTTAGATGTTTAGAAAAGTTTTGGCTGAGGTTTTACTTTGAGAGGGAACACAAGGTTTTTAGAATTTCCACATAAACAAATAGTCTATGCCCACTGGAGACACAACTAGAAATAAGTTTGTGTATATATATATATATCAATCTGTAGAATTCTTTTAGCTTTAGGAAGCCTCAAAAGATTTCCAAAAACTGTTGATGCTTCCAAGGGATATACAATAAACACTTTTTGGAAATGTAAAGCAACTTCAGAATGGTGACCACAGCTTTCATTAAAATTTAAATCTGTATAATGACATTGTGTTTTGTATATCTGAGGTCAATACTGAGGCAAGATCCATAAGATCACAGAATTACAGAGTAACAGAACTGAAGAACATAACCAATTGAGATAATTTATGGAAGGAGGAATCATCCATCTGAGCTCTTTGCATAAAAGTCCACTTAAATGTCTATGACACCACTAAACAGAAAAAAAAAAAACCTCACCAACAAGGACCTGGACTCTAGTCGATATTTAGGACCAATTACAGATTTTTAAATTTGTAAGATTTTTGTCCTCCATTGGAAACAGACTGAGAGAGACAGCAACAAACTCCACATCAGCTGCTCCAAAAATTTTAGAATTTATTCCCCATCTGTTTAATTTACTAAACCTCACCTTTAAGATGGTATGGTTTGGATTCAAAGTGCAAAAAAGAAAAATAACTACAGCCTGATATATGCATTTTCACTTAACTGATAGTAGTGAATCACTGTATAGGATAACAGCAGAACAAAACAAAACAAAAACCCCAGAACTGTAAAAAAAAAATTCCTTTACCTTGTTCTTGCTTAATCCTCTCTCTTTCTGCATATCCTGCAGTCAGCATGTTGATTCTGTTAAGCCACCTGAAAAAACAACTATTAAAATCAATAACAGTGCAATTGAATTTCGTATATTTTACTTTTAAAAAATATTTATTTTAAGGATAAAGAAGATGTGGTATATATACAATGGAATATTATTCGGCCATAAAAAAGAATGAAATCTTGCTATGTGCAACGGCATGGATGGAACTAAAGTATATTATGCTAAATGAAGTAAGTTAGTCAGAGAAGGATAAATACCATATAATTTCACTCCTATGTGGAATTGAAGAAACAAAAGGAATGAAGTGGGTAAAAAGAGAGAAAAACCAAGGAACAGACTCTTAACTGTAGAGAACAAACTGATGGTTACCAAAGGGGAGGTGAGTGGGAGGATGGGTAAAATAGGTAATAGGGATTAAGGAGGGCACTTGTTGTGACGATTCCTGAGTAATGTGCCGAATTGTTGAATGACTATACTGTACGCCTGAAAGTAACACTGTATGCTAACTATACTGGAATTAAAATTTAAAACTTAATAAAAATGTTTATTTTAAAATGTTTAAGAATATATGAGATAATTCTACATAAAAGATGTGTTCTTTGCTATTCTTGACACATCGAGCTTTCAATGAGCTATATAATTTGCTGTGGTATAAATTGCTGCCACACTACAGATGATATTTCGATAGAAAAGTCTTAAGCAAACCTGTAAATATATGTAATATAGAGGGTTTTAAGATGATCAGAGCCCTATCAATTCTGTTGCTCCAAATTTAGAAGCAGTCCAAATATTTCTGCTGTTTGTTTCTTCAGAACAAATGCTCTTTTAATATAATTAATATATACTGATGAGAAAAAAAGTTATGGACCTTGCCGGTCAAAATAAATTTCACTATGAAGTATTAGTTTTGATGAAAGTTATTTAAGTTTAATGTTCCAGGGGGAAACACATCTTGGGAGTACTTTGGAAATTTGTCTCTAAATACAATTTGTTTTCTAAAGACCAAATGAGCAAATACAATTTTAACCTCTATTTAGATCTTAAAAACTTATTTCCATGAACAATAGTAACTTAAAAATAAATCTTAGTTCTTTCCTCTCTCAGTAGTGATGCTATTTCCAGTGTTTTAATCTCTATCTTTTGTTCCACCAGGTCTCTCCCTGTGTTAGTTATTCCAGCTCTTTATACTGTACCAGATGATCAAATCACAAAATCTTTAAATTAACCTGACAATTTCCCATTAGCCTATTCTGAGGTATGATCCATATATAATTTCCTAAATCAGAAATTGAGGAAAAACCCCTCTTCCAAACTACCTCAAGTTTGGAATCAATACTATAGTTAACATCATTAAACTGTGGAATAATCTGATCAAGATATATTTTTAAGAAAAAATTGTTTGAGAACTTTTTCTCCCAAGAGCTTATCTACCGTGTCAAATGAAAGATGATGCTTTTTTCAGTGACTCATATATTTCATCATTTATGCCCAGTAGTATTAACTGTGCAACAGATAGTTAGAATATCCTGGAAAGGGAGGAAAGTTGTGTCTCTAATTGACAAAATCACATCCGTGGAAATTTAAACTTCAATGTTAAGAGTAAGTCACCTAAAACCCAACTTTATTTTGAGAAAGCCTACAATGTAATTATCACCTCAAGTATTTTGGGGAAGTGAAGAAGGGAGTGGAACATAAAGGAAATAAAATAAAGATTGAACAAATAAATTCAGTAGCATAGTATACAGCCACTCCAAAAAATTACAAGTTATAAGTTAATAAGTCAACTTCATGATGAGTAACCTTTAAAAAATGACTCTAATCTTAGTAAAAAGGTCAAAATTGAAATTTAGTCTATAGGTCATTTGTAGTGAGAATGGGGTTGAATTCGTACTACAAGACAAATCTTAGCACTCTTAGGAAAGATGTGCCTGGCGCTTTTGGGGTGAAAATGATGATAACAGTACTATAGGAACATATATTAGTGAATTTTAATGAAGTACCTCAAATTGACTATTATTTTTTAATATAGATAAACCTAGACATTGTTTTATTTATTTTTTATTTTTTATTATAATTTATTGTCAAATTGGCTTACATACAACACCCAGTGCTTCTTTTTTTTAATGTTGATTCATTTATTTTGAAAGAGAAAGAAAGCGTGAGCAGGGGAGAAGGGCAGAAAGAGAGGGAGAGAATTCCAAGCAGGCTCTGCACTGTCAGCACAAAGCAGGATGTGGGCCTAGATCCTAGTAACTGTGAGATCATGACCTGAGCTGAGATCAAGAGTCTGATGCTTAACTGACTGAGCCACTCAGGTGCCCCCCCCCTCCTTTTTTCTGAGAGAGAGAAATAGAGAGAGAGAGAGAGAGAGCGCAACTGTGCAAGGGGCAGAGAGAGAGACAGAGAGAGAGAGAGAGAGAGAGAGAGAGAGAGACAGAGACAGAGAGAGAGAGAGACAGAGAAGTGGGACTCACCTGGGGCTTGTGTTTTTTTGTTTTTTGTCTTTTTTTTTTTTTTTACCCTAAGCGGGACTGGAGCTCATCTGAAACGGGGCATGAGCTCACATGAAGCGGGGATCATGCTCACCTGAAGTGGGGCTCGTGTTCACCTGAAGCGGGGATCATGCTCACCTGAAGCGGGGCTCAAGCTCACCCAATGTGGGACTTGAACTCACCAACTGTGAGCCGAAGGCAATTGCTTAACGATGAGAACCCCTCATATTGACTATTATAAAAAATATCACGGGGCGCCTGGGTGGCGCAGTCGGTTAAGCGTCCGACTTCAGCCAGGTCACGATCTCACGGTCCATGAGTTCGAGCCCCACATCGGGCTCTGGGCTGATGGCTCAGAGCCTGGAGCCTGTTTCCGATTCTGTGTCTCCCTCTCTCTCTGCCCCTCCCCCGTACATGCTCTGTCTCTCTCTGTCCCAAAAATAAATAAACGTTGAAAAAAAAATTAAAAAAAAAATCACTGAAATTTCATTTTGTCAGAAGTTTAAAGAACAATGAGGTCTTTATGAGATGAATTAGGAAACTAAGAAAAAGGCTTCTTTGATTTTTCAGTTCAACAAATTTACTAAGTGCCTGCTATATGCTGAACAATGAGCTATGTTTTGGGGGCACAAAAATGAATAAGACATAATTCCTGCCTTCAATGAGTTCCAGAATTGCTAAATGTCATAAAACAATTGAAAAATTAGCCTACTTTTAGGAAGAAAAATTCTGTTCATGATAAAAACTCTGCAGAAAGTATGTGGAGAAACTCAGGTCAGTGTGCATAGGCACAAAAGGCTGAACACTACACAGTCGTTGGTGCTGTCTTCGGTAAACTTGTCCTCAAGGCCTCAACTAGAAGAGGCTTACCTATATACTTGCTGCAGTATAATTTGGTATTTATAGGCCATTGTAAACAGCAGATACATATGCATTAACTGGGTCAGGTAATATTTATTGAGAACCTATGTCTACAAGGTACTGTTATTCTAAGCTCCAAGGATAGAGAGAAACCAAACAAAGTGCCTGCCTTCTCAGGAGACTACATCTTAGTGAGGGCAACAGATAATAAACAGGGATACAAATAAACATATGTCAAGTAGTGTCAAGTGCCATTTACAAAAATAGCAACGTAAAAAATTAGAAAGTCAAAGGTGCTAAGGATGGGGGGGCGGTTAATTTAAGAAAAGGTGGTTAGGGATACAAGCACTGAATTCAGTGACGGGGAAGGGCTTTGATATGAGGTCCACATTCAGCACCTTATCCTGTCACTGATGCTTTAAAACAAGACAATATAGGTAAGGGGATATTGAGCCTTCCCATGAAGCTATCAATAACTAACAAAGAATAATGTATTGAGAGGAAAAAAATGAGTACAAACTATGGGAAAAATGTCCAAAGAGTAATTACCAAATAGAAATGAGTGAATCCTCACAATTATAAAGACCTAAGTGCTGACATAATAAGGAATATATAGGCCAAATGAATTCAGTAAATAAGTCTCAGAATACTTGAGAAACATGATATTTTGTTTTATTCCCACAGATTTCACAAAGACTGGCAAAAATTTTTTTTTCATGTTTTAATGCTCATTTCTGAGGAGGAAACAGATGGATGGTGGGAGGGGCCTCCAAAGTATTTTTGCAAATTACCTCACAATCATACTTACAGTTGGTCAAAAAATAGAAGGTGAGATTTAAATATTTCACGCTTGTGTATATGTATACATATATATGTATATATATATGCATATATCTGGGTATATGTATATACATACATATATTTCGGTATATACAGGTACATGTAATTAAATTTACTTTATATCTCTTGTCAAAACTTGCACTATATTTTTAAAATGTATATGATACTTTTTGGAAATTAAGAGATAACCAGATAAAGCTTATAGCTATGATTAGCATAATTATAATATCATAAATATAAAATCTCTGAAGACTTAGGTACATTCCTTTAAAAGATTATATATAGCATGAACCAACACCCAGATTATCTTGCTGTTAAGTAACAATCAGGTTCCTGAACAAAATCTTTGGAGGGGATCTCTCCCAACCTCTAATCCTCTATTTATTTACAGCACTGAGTCCCTCCCGTCTATTAACAAGTAATTTTTAAGAACTTGCCTGTTGAAAGTAGACATTGGGAATATGATTATAAAAAAAAATAAAAAGAAAAATATAAAAGTCCATTATACTTAAAGTTTTAAAAAAATTCAGTATTTCAGGACAATTTAATTCTGAAGTTTCTAGTGCACCATAGCAAGGCTTACATAAAACAGCACTTTTAAATGTATGATGTGGAGATGACATATTTGATTAGTTTCACATTTTCACTTTGACTCATTGCTTAGAAAAAACAACAAAACAACAAAAACAACAAAATGGGTTTGCTTTAGCTTCTATGATATCCTGAATCAGATACATCTATAGGATTATTAGGGAAGAGCAGTGACATGACACACTTTTGAAGTTATTGCTAACACAGGGCAGGTAGAGACCAGGCATGGTTTAGTACTTCATAAAAAGAGCATGATTAGCATGTTTCATGAATAATTAAATCATGTTAATTCTTAGAGACGGTTGTATTCTAGTGTATCCATCTTGTAAAATAGGATAATGCTCATTTTTACCACTTATTTTCTGTTTGGTCATGATGTAAACCCCTCATATTCATCCCAAAGGCACTGTGCTCAACATGTGATAAAATAAATAGTGAATAACTAGAACAGTAGAATTATAAAATTATTAAAACAAAAAATAGAGTATCACAACTTCTCCTTACCCCATGTGAATAACATTTTCATTTTGAGAACAAATTAAGGAGAAAAAGCTCTCCAAATTCCAATTGCCTAGTGTGAAATGTCAAGAATGGTAATGTACATCAAAAGATTTTGGGAAGTACAAGAAAGACTCAGTTCCCTTATTAATAATAAAACATTTTATCAAGTGTTCTCAACACTTTTGTTTGCCATTTCCTTGTATTCATATCCTTGCTTTAGGACAAACCATGCCTGTACTCCCAAGTGTCAAAACACCAAGATCATTTATAAAAGCATATTAAGTGTTCATTTAGTGTGCTCAAGTACATTTATAAAGTTGCTCGATTTTGTGCTTAAAAATATCTGGATACTAATTTTTTTGAGACACATAAAGAAAGGTAAATGGGGGCAAAAGCCCAAAATATATGAAAGGGATATACATTGCTAGCAAACATTTACATAGCACTTATAATTGAGCAGGGACTGTGGTAAGCCCTTTATGTGTGCTCATTTGCTCCCGACAAAAGTCGTTTGGGTAGAGATTATTATTATGTCCATTTTTCAAGGGGTCAATACCTGGCATAAAGAGGTCCAGTTCTATATCCAGGATCACACAGCTAGTAAGTGTGAGATCTGGGATTTGGACAGTCTGGTCCCAAAGTCTATTCTCTAAATCACTATGCTGTGCTGCCTCTCCCTAACTGTTGGCAAGTTATGTATGTAATAAGTACTGCCTGCTAAAGACCTGTAAAAAGGAAACATCTGAATCTTAAACCTAATTTCTATAAATCTAGAAAAGAGAGAGGGGAAAGGAAGGAAAAGGAAGAATCAAATTCATAAATGCTAAAGTGGGAAATCTGAAGCAGAATGTTGTAGATGATGGAAATTTATATATACACATACATATATTTTTCCCCCCACAGGTCCATATGACCATGTAGCCAACCATCTAAAGTTTATTCATTCATTTTGAAAGAGAGAGAGAATCCCAAGTAGGCTCTGTGCTGCTGGTGCAGAGCCTGACACAGGGCATGAACCTACAAACCATGAGATCATGCATCACCTGAGCTGAAATCAAGAGTTCGACACTTAACCGACTGAGACACTCAGGCACCCCAACCATGCAGCCATCTAATCACTTGGCTGTATAACCTTGTTCAGTGATAGAAGAAAGGTTACAGAAAGAAATATTAACTTTGTTTAGGACTAAATAATTGAGATGGATGTTATGTCATGAATACCCAGCACTTGGAAGAGTCAGGTTTTTTGGTGAGTATCTTTTTTTTCCCTCCACCTGGGAACACATTTTAAGACATATCTTTAAAAAATTTTTTTTAATGTTTTTATTTATTTTTGAAGGAGAGAGAGAGACAGAGCATGAGCGGGAGAGGAGCAGAGAGAGAGGGAGACACAGAATTTGAAGCAAGCTCCAGGCTCTAAGCTGTCAGCACAGAGCCGAACATGGGGCTGGAACTCAAAAACTGTGAGATCATGACCTGAGCTGAAGCCGGATGCTCAACTGACTGAGCCACCCAGGCGCCCCTGAAGACATATCTTGAAATGGACTTCTAAAAAAATCTTTTATTTTTTACAGTGGATTTTTTTGGTCTATATATGGATTCAGGCATATTTTTGGTAAACCTGGTAAACAGTCAACAAGTTTATTTTGACTTTTAAAATGTTGTTCTCTGAAGTTAGGTATGGCTACATGCAGCAATGCCTGAGTCCATTTTATTTTAAACTGATGTACCACAGTGACATTATTCTCTAAGCATTAATATGGAAAACTTAGAATTCTAAGCCTAACTGACTTTCTAAGTACTTTGAAATTTTAGTAACACTTTACCTGTTCATATCATCAAGATGCTCAGCAGCAAAATAAAAGCTTTTGATTTTAGGATGACAGGCTTTGAATGCACTGCAAAAGGAAACAAAGTATATTTATTTTATTTCAAATTGGAAAATAAGTTAGAACCAAATAATTTTTTTTTCAACGTTTATTTATTTTTGGGACAGAGAGAGACAGAGCATGAACAGGGGAGGGGCAGAGAGAGAGGGAGACACAGAATCGGAAACAGGCTCCAGGCTCTGAGCCAACAGCCCAGAGCCTGACGCGGGGCTCGAACTCACGGAGTGCGAGATCGTGACCTGGCTGAAGTCGGACGCTTAACCGACTGCGCCACCCAGGTGCCCCGAACCAAATAATTTTTATAGATAAAGTTACCTCAACATCTAACCTGAATTCACATATATAATGCTTATGCCATGATGACAGAAATCAGTAAAAAATTCAATTTTCTGCTCATAAAACTGCTTTGTTTTTACCTCAATTTGAAAGCATTAGAGAAGTGACCTATGATTTAAAAGCTAGAAATAAAAAAAAAACAACAAACACCCTTCCCTTCTCTCCCTCTCCCCAAATAAAATCAACTTACTATTTCTTGCGGCATTCACTGGCTCTGTCAATTTTAAATTCGGGCAGACTGATGAATCCTTCTGCTTTTTCATCCTAAAGAGGCAACAATCTTGTTCAGGGTGTTATACACATAGGTTTGAAGCTGATAATACTATAGACCTATACCTTAAAAATATAAACTAATACATTTTTTTACTTAATGTCTTAAATTTGACATTTTAGAGATTAGAGTTCCACTCTTACTTGTTATATTCCATTAAACTGAAGATATATTTTGAACATTTAGAATAGTAAAAATTAAGATACACACAGAAATTCTGAAAAATCCTTTTTATATTAGAATGAAGATAGAAAACTATTTAAATTCTCAAAATGAAACATGATTTATGAGTAATTTTCTCACCAGAATGTATATATACTTTTATAACATATAAAAATAACTTCAGTCCACATTCACCATTCACAATTTTCTGTCACTTTTAATGTTCATATGTAAAATATATGGATGTTTACTAATTCAATTCCTTTTCTGTCTCCAAAAAAATCTTTTATCAAACCTGAATTAAATATGTTGTATAGTCCAGATTTTATAAATGAAATAAGTTGATTTTATCTTCAAATATCTAGCTTGGTATACATGCTATATATATAAAGATCATTTTCCACTTGGAAAATTGAATGAAATCCTTAAAATCTTCCTCTCTCTAATGTGGGATGGAAAAACAAGATAGGAGAATTATCCAAAATCTTATGTTAGAAACAAATTATTCCAAGTAGGCTAAGACTACCCTTGGCTAAATCCTTTCATTGTTGTCCTTTTCATGCTCATGACCAAACTCCTCAGACTTTTATTCTCCCAAACTTTTTGATCTGTGCTGTATCAGTTAATGGCCCCTTATATAACAAGTTCAAGTGAGGTTACACCCCCATCTGCTAACCTTAAAGAAAAAAAAATACAGATTCCCATTCTTTTAGTGTGCGTGTATGTATAAATGTAAAACTTAATAAAAATATGATATTACTGATAGTGACTGAAATGTGTCATAAAAAAGAGAGTATTATAACTTTTTCAATATTTTTTTAGTATTTGAGTATTTTTTTCTTCCAATCTTGGTAAATAAACACAATAGTCTCAAATCTCTTTCAACTTTGATTTCTGTTATGTCAACCTTGATGTCTTTTAACTTAAAAATTCTATATTTCAAACAATTTAAAATATTTCGGGGGATAGATACAATCTTCCCATAATGATGTGATGAGAGATTTCTCCTAAAAAATCACACTAAGTTATTCTTACAGTGTATACTAGGGAATTATTCACTCACTTCTCACAAGTCTAACACAGTAATACCTCTGATCAAAACTTAGCAACTGTTCAATAAAAAAGGGCCTCAGTTTTTAATCTCTTGAACTTTGAAAGAATGATATAGCATACAGCAGAGAAATCTACAAGTGACCTTAAAATAAAGGGAAACAGAGGCTATATTTGGATAATACTTGATTGGCATATAAAAAGTATTTGATATATGTTAAATGAAAATGTTGGTAAAATTGTTTTCTATATCTAAAATAAGATAGACTTAGTGAAATAGAAGATTTTTTAGGTAATTATGTGATTGGCACAAATAATATCAAAAGTGCAGAAAATAACCAAATCCTTTTATATAGTATAGGCATTTGTATTAAACAGCGAAAGATTAATTTGAGATTTTACAAATGAAATTAGAGGTCAATTTGAAAAGTATTACTAATAGCATATGTTTAGTGAGTATTGAATGTATGCCAAGCATTGTTCTAAGTGGGCTTTACATGAATTGATTCTTTTCATCCATATGATAGCCCAGTGAGCTCGGTTCCATTATTACTCTCCCTCTTTGCAAATGAGGAAATTGATGTATAGTAATTCAGGTGGGTTAATTCTATTCTCTAAACCATAACAAACATAACTCCTCTACATATTTTATGTTATAATCGTAAGCATAATTATATTGTTAAATTATATTTCAAAAATTAATATTCAAATGCAAACTGATGAATACCTTAACATAATAGTATTTCTGTAAGACTAGTCAGCACACTATATTAAACTATGTACATTTTTTGAGAAAACAAGTTAACAATAGAAATTATTGTTAAAAAAACCTTAATAAGGTGAACTGACAGATGGCTATGGCAAAAGAGTGAAAATGAATGCGGAGTCAAAGAAAATATCAAGGAATAAGGTATACTCTTGTGCCCCTGTTGTGATAGGTGGTAGGTTATAATATAACTACTCTGAATAAAGATTTGTTTACTACAAATGAAACAGGAATTCGTAAGAACAATTTAAATATATTATATATACTCCCCATCCCCATCCCTCAACTAGTCTTCTAGTTCACATATTCTTTAAGAAAAACAAATAAGTTCATGCAATATTAATTTACTTATATTATTAGAGGACATCTTCCAAAAACAAACAGAAAAAAATAGAAAACTTTGAACAAAAGTGAGACATTTAAAAATCTATTTCAAATTTCCATGTATAATCCTTTTAGTTAAGCTATTGCTGGAATTAGTTTGATATTTCTAATTAGATACACAGAATTTTGTCTGTTTCATATAGGCTGCCACATTAGAATAATTGAGACAACTATCTTTCCAGAACTCCCAAAGTGCAATCATTTTAAGAAGGCAGATTAAAAAATAAGTAGTGGCACTCTCCTGGATTAGCATTAAGGTGGTTATATGATTTGAAAATCTAAGTCTCAAAATGGTGATTCTTTGGGTTAAAGATAGAAAGTGGATCAGAGAAAAATATGTTTTATCTTACCTCCTCATTAATATACCAATATAGAGATGCATCCTTAAGGACAAACCAATATTTCTTCCATTTCTGTGAAAAATAACTCTTTGCATCTTTCTTTTTCCAAAGCCAACCTTCACAGTCACCTCGTCCAAGATCTTTGCAAGAAATACGTCTTTTGCTCTTGCCAGCTATAGGACCTAAAAATAATAGTAGGTAAAAGTGCTCTTTTAATTTTATACAAGTGTGAAGGTAGAAGATTAATCTATAGCTCATTAAAATAAGTCTGGGTATTTAACAACCTTAAAAATTCTTATTTTTACATTCTATCAGAAGAGAAAACTATGGAAATCTTTAATACCTTCCTCCCCCCAGATAAGTGACATGCAATGTAATCAGAATTGTGTAATCCCAGTGTCAAACCCTGTTGAGACCATTTATTGTAAAAGGTACCCCTAGCATCACAATTGAAGGAGGAGCTGGTCTTGGCAGCTCTTACTAGGGAGCTGTGCTCTTGCAAACCACAATGGGCTCAGGCAAGAGAGGATGGGCAAAGTATGCTGGTGACTATCACGGTGCAAAATAAGCAGCTATATATTTCATTTCACTTCCTTTCCTTACCTTTGTTTTTCTTCTTTGATTTGTGCTGCAGAGAGGACTGCTGAAATGTCTGAAATCCAAGATATGGAAGAATGTTATTTGATACTCAGGATGCCATCCACAGTGCTAACATGCTGCTAAGAACTCTCAAGAGTTGAACGATGACTCTGAACCCAGGTCAGAGAAAGCATTTTCTGTTTCCAAAGACTCAAAACAAATTCATATATATCATGGCAATTAACTTTCTAATCTCACATGAAGCAGGACAGGTTATTATCATTGTCTTTCTTTTGTAGGTAGACAAATCAGGACATAAAGCAGTGGTGAAACTCAGGGCTCTTATATAAACACAGTACTACTTTTTACCCCTTTTTAAGGGATTTATTGTGCTTTCTCAGGCAATATCTCAATTGATTCTCAGAAAGTCTTATGAAATTGTCAGGCAAATATGACTACCACTTGTTATTTTGAAGTTCATTCTCTTCCATAAGCCACCAGCACCTACTGATCCTCCTAGGCACTCCCCCTCAGTTGCTAAATACTGCAGCACTTGAATCAATATTTTCTTCTCACACCTACTTCTGTCGCTATTACTGGTAACTAATCTTCATGTAAGTGATGTCAGTACCCTGGCTCCTCAGTCCCTCATCTCCAATGATCTTTACTTCTCTCCTCAGCTAACCATCCTTCTGACAATGTTTGTTATCTTAAGCAGACTCCAACCACTGCTTCTATTACCTACATTTTATGTAGCCCAATAGTTCCAACCCAGTAATTTTTAGCAAATTTTCATTGAGGCATCCATTTCATTAACCTTGCCACCCTTTTGTGACTTTATTATTTCTTTTTTCTCAGTTATCATGAGATACCATTATAATCATTCCCTTGAGCTATGCTCTCTCCATCATACTTGCCTAGCTAAATAGGCAGTTTAGCTGCCTGTTAAATCAGTTAAACCTGCCTGTCTACTCCATGCTAACTACAAGAAAAGCTTAATGTCTTAATAGAAAAACCCACAGCTGTATTGACTGGTCTAGCTTTCAATGACTATAAATCACTGGTTCCAGTCAGATACTAAGTCAGATGTTAAGCTACATTGTTGTTCACTGGTATAATAAGGTTAATTGTGTTCATATGATTAGCTAGCTAACAGAGTATAGAGATAACATGTGTAATTTCAATTCATAGATACTCCTTTGAAATGAATTTTAGGTACCTAGAATCTTCTTTTCTTTACAAAGGTATGCCTGTAAGGGGTAATTGGATTTTGCTTACATAAAATTCACTTGTCTTGGTTTTATACAACACATTTGTATTCTGTGACATACTTTCTTGTTTGGTATCTTTGTCCATAAGATAACATTCTACTACAATAGCAATTTTCTTGTTTTGCATATGGTTTACTTAATTCTCATGAATATGGTATTATGGGTGGATACCAGTCCTAAAGGTAAGTAGCATATAATTTGCTGATGTACAGCACAACCCTGAAATAATCACCCAAGTGTCAAAGCAATAGAAACATGTATGCACGTGGTATGTGTGTGCGTGTGTTTACAAAACTTTGCAGGATACATGGCTATGGAAATTCATAATCAATTTTTCAGAGAAAACATAAAAGATAAAACTCATTATGCTGTGTTGATTTTCCTGAGTGCACTTTGCTCCAAAATAATAACTCAGGGTAGTGTGCTTAAGTAAAGGTAACTTAGATATCGTGATTTCCCCTAAATTGTTAAGCTGTAAAATTACTGATTGGTTATTTTCTTTTTGTGTTTCCACAAGTAGTCATTATAATCTTATGGCTGATAATTTTTAAAAATGACAAAGATGGGGTGGTTTGTTTTTAGGAAGCTACATGGAGAAAAGACAGCTTGAAAGAACTGAATTATAGAAGGTACCTCCTATGCCTTTTGCATGCTATTCCTTAGATCCTGGAGGTCTATTTTATTTTATTATTAGTTTTTTAATGTTTATTTATTTTTGAGAGAAGGACAGAACATGAGTGGCGGAGGAGCAGAGAGAGAGGGAGACACAGAATCGGAGGCAGGCTCCAGGCTCTGAGCTGCCAGCACAGAGCCCGATGCGGGGCTCGAACCCCCGAACCATGAGATCATGACCTGAGCCGAAGTTGGACGCTCAACCCACTGAGTCACCCAGGCGCCCCATAGAGGCCTATTTTAAAATCTATACAAAAACGTATTTTATGCTTTCTAGGATTTCTTTTTAATAATATTATCTTTTCTTTCCCCATAAATATATATTCATACTGATTGTGATTACAGTGTACATATTGTTGAAACCCAAGAACTCATACGTACACAATATAGATTTATGCAACATTCAAATAAACAAAGCCATAGATGTCTTTTGTATATACTATATATATATAACAATAAAATTATCTTAAGAGAGATTTTATTATTTGTCCAAGTGATTAGACATTTTCTAAAGTAAAAAAATTAACTGAAGTAGAGTAGACCCTTAAACAATGTGGGGTTAGGGGCACTATAACTATGGGCTCCCCCCAAACTTAACTAATAGCCTACTCTTGACCAGAAGTCTCATCAATAATGTGAATAGACAAATAACACATAGTTTGTATGTTATATGTATTATATATTGCATTCTTACAATAATACCTTTTTCTTATTTTTTTCCAGTATTTCTAAGCAATGTGGTTTGCCTGTGAGTTTTTTCAAATTGTCACAAATCTCTAAATTTTTTTCCTATTTATTGAAAAAAAATCTACATATAAGTGGACCCACGCAGCTCACATATAAGTGAACACGTGTTGTTCATGGGTCAACTGTATATGCTCTTGAAAGTCATAAGAAAAACAATGAAAACTACAGCTAAGGAAATAGGTCTCTGCATAAAAGAGTTAATACAGCAGGTTTGAAGCTGCTATCTTAGAAGAGCCTGCTTGCAAGGTTGACCCTCAGGTGCCATCTGGGAACTTGGCTGGTAAACAGTTCCCTAAAATGACATGAGATTCACTAAGCAATAAGACGGTTTTGCCCACCCATGGACTAAGCACCTGTTTTCCTTTCGGGAATCTATAGTTTTGTAGTTGCTAGACAGAGGATGTGTACGTGACCAACCCAATACAATCCCTCAGTGCTGAGTCTTTAATGTGCTTCCTTCGCAGAGACACTATACACGTGACCGCATTTTTGCTGCCTGGGTGAGAATGCCCTCTGCATGATCTGTCACAAGGAGAGAGCATAGGAAGCCTGCACATAGATTTCTCCAGATTTCATAGGTGTCTTTTTTCTTTGCTGCTCTGACTATACATCTTTGCTGTGTCACTGCTGTAAATCTTCGCTGTGGGCAGAACTACAAGCTGACTCTCATGAGTCTTTCTAGTGAATGTGTGTGATCTTGGGGACCCCTGAAACAGCCTCATAATCAAAAGAGTCTTTACAAACTTATATTAAAAACTGTTCATTGTTCATATGCATAAATAAGTTCCTGACAGTGAAGGTTTTATCATATCATCAGCAAGTGTGATTAAGCACTCCTGAGGTGCAAATTTATAATCTTGTGTAGTCTTTTCTAGTAAAACTGATGGAAATATTCATTCTGAGTGACAAATATTTCACTGGTTTCACTTTTTTTGTTTCTAATGACATCATGAAAAATTTAAAATAAGCATGACATTAAGAACAGACACATAACTATAATGCCTAATATAGCAGATCATATAAGATGCTATAACTAAAAAAAGAGAGGAAGGGTGAGAGAGGCCTGGAATCTTTGCTTTCATGATGATGAATGCTTTTCTCCTGACAGTGAAAATTTATAATATATTTTATTTTTGTATTTTTCTTATTAGCTTCAGATCATCCTTCTTCCAGGTTCATGCTTAAGTATATCCTTTAGAAGTTCTTTCATAACAGACTGTGAGTACGAAACTCTGAGATTTTTATGCCTGAAAATATAAAAATCCTTCCCTCTTGAATAATAGCTTAGCTGGGCATAGAATACTGGGTTGAAATTAATTTTCCATCAGCACTTTGAATATATTTGATTTATTTTAGCATTTATTGCTACTCTTAAGACAACTGTAGCTACTCTCTCATTTGTTACAATTTGTCTTTAGTCTCTCTGTAGCTTTTAAAATATTTTTCTCTTTATCCCTGATAATCTGCAATTGTACTATGAAGTGTATATGTTATAATTTCTTTTAATTAATCCTATTTCACATTCATTGTATTGTACTTGAAGATATTATTTCTTTAATTCTCAAAATTCTCATGTCTTAGGTCTTCAAATGGTCTTTTTTACCAGTCCTTTTTCCCCCTGAAGACATATATTGCCACCTCTCAATTATCATCCTTGTATCTTTCATATTTTTTATCCTTTTATATTTCTGCAATGCTTTTTAGGTAAATTCATTCTGATGTCTTCTAACTTCGTAATTCTCTCACTGTATCCAATTCAAAGTTTATTCCACTTATAGAGTGTTTATTTTATGGGCTATATTTTATACATCCAGGATGTCTAGTTGGTACTGGCTCTCTAAAAAAATTTTTTTTTAACATTTATTCATTTTTGAGAGACAGAGTGTGAGTGGGGGAGGAGCAGAGAGAGAGAGGGAGACACGGAATCTGAAGCAGGTTCCAGGCTGTTAGCACAGAGCCCGACGTGGAGCTTGAACTCACGGACTGTGAGATCATGACTTGAGCTAAGTCAGATGCTTAATAGACTGAGCCACCAAGACGCCCCAGTTTGGCTCTTTTGAATATCCACTGTTTTTTTTTAAGTTTCTTTATTTATTTTGAGACGGAGAGAACAAGCAGAGGAGGGGCAGAGAGAGAGGGGGACAGAGGATCTGAAACAGGCTCCATGCCAACAGTAGAGAGCCTGATGTGGGGCTCGAATTCATGAACAACAAGATCATGACCTGAGCTGAAGTCAGATGGTTAACTCACTGAGTCACCCAGGTCCCCCAAATATCCACTGTTCTTAATCATCCTGTTATTATTTCAAAATTTATTTTAAGGGCTTTTGTGGATTTTCCATAATTTGTATACAATTAGGAAAGTATCACCCATGTACACGTCA